TTCACTGGTCAATTACCCAGATCCTAAGAATGTGCCCTGCTCCGGGGAATTAGTGGTCATTTCCTTCCTCAGCTTTTAACCTTCCCTTGGAAAGAAACTTGAGGTTAAGGCTGCTGTCTTGTCTCAGAAGGAAACCATAAGGCATCTACTTAGGGCAAATTGAAGGGTTTACATTGATTCAATAATAGCACCCTATTCAGTTCCCAAACTTGGGGTTAGTTGGAGTTTTTTTGGATATACTGAGAAAATATCCTTAAAAGATCAGCTGTGTATTTTTCATATCAATATACACTAATGACTGGTAGTCGATCCTGCATGATCACGAGTTCATCTTGCATCCTGAATCACTGCATTGTTTCAGTTGGAATTACCTAAAACATGGCAACGTTTTCATACTTACAAACAGAGCAGCTTTAAAAATTCCTTTTAGATAGAAATGATTGTCAGGTGTAAATTATTGATCGATTTGATGACTCTTTATTCCAACAGCTGAAAAACACAATTCAGACAATGCCAACAGAGGTGAAGAAAAATACTTTAATTTAGATTTTAGTAGTATAAGAGAGGACTTTATTTTAAATTACAATGAAATAAAATGTAATTGCACACTTTGTGTTCTGCAGCATTGCTTATATTTGAAATGTCTGCAAAGTTTCTGGAAGACCAAAGTAATCGTACAAATGAGTGTAATTTAATTTGCAGCCTATGGAGGTATAAATAATTCGTACACTACACAGTGATTGTATAAATGATCTCTGCATAAATGAAGGTTCAGAAAACACCTTTAAGCTATTTGGTACGTTGGCAGAAACGGGTTTCTAGCAGACAGAAATTGGATGTAAGGCCACACTTAATCGCTTTCAGACATGCTGTATAACATCCAGCTCTGTAGCTGGGCTTTTTAAGAGGTGCTAATCACTGCGTATTTGATTTCATTAGTCTGCTTCACTTGACTTTTTCCTTCTGAACCAGCGTGTTAAAAGCCTTAAAACCAAAGCAAATCCTATTTATGCAACACATTCTTCTCTGTTTTTGTAATTGGATAGCTATAAAAATCTGTCCCCGCTAAAAGACAATTTGTTCGCAAGTTGTTCCTGTTGATCTCTTGTTGCGTTTTCCAAGTGGCAGTACATAAAAATGTGTTACATTAGCACAGTTATGTATTTACAAAACGGGAAGCAGGGCGTTCTGAGAACAGATGTTTGGATATCACCAGGATGGGGAGATGTGTTTCTGTGGCGCTTTTGCAAACATCAGAAGTGGAACTGACTGTTCTGACACTGATTCAATCCATTAGGAGAGCATCTGAGATTACCTCCTGTGTTTACATGACCTTATTTCAGTTCTTCGTGCCGTAAATTAGGTCAGGAATCCTAACTGCGGTGGGTTAAGTTTCTACATCATAATATATCAACCCAAAAGGTGCTCTCCAGGGTAGGTTTTTTCACCAGCAGGGGAGAAAAGGCAGTAATTCTCAATTATGTGGCACCAGTGGAGAGGCAAAATGTACGTTTCTGGGAAAATGGTTAGCAATATATATTTTCACTGTAATAAAGACCGAGTTGGCATAGTTAGTGGTTTTGTGCCAACATGTATGGCTATTTGAAATACAGCTCTGCGTTAAGGAGAACAGAAAAGCTGCGCTCAGTGTTCTGGTGGAAAAGATGACATTTCCTAATGTGTTAAATCATGCGTGTCACGTCTCTGAAGGCAGTGGATTAAACAAATACTTATGAAGGATGTCTTATCTTTCGCCTGTGAACTAATCATATGAACTCTGCCTTATCTGTTTATGAATTATATAAACTGTGCACCCCAGCAGCCTTATATAAATTATAATAAAACAGATAAGTTGATAAGAGCACAAAGTGTACACTAGGGTTGGGGTCACGCCGCAAAGTTTGAAACTGACTCATGGTTTTAAGCATGCAGAAATCTGGGGAGTTTTAAGGCTCCACTGTCTGGACATGGCCTGTTGTGGCAATGGGAGCCATCTCTAATTGGAGGGCACAGGACGTTCCTCTGAGCATCACAGACAGAATTGAAATTCTGTCCTAAAATGATGAGGAGTGTAGGCTGGACTGCCTACGACACAGGGAGGAAAGGAGAGCCAAGAAAAGCTTTGGGCCATGACCTGTGCTGAGTAAGCCCAGAGATCCAGCGTGGCTTTTAACTATTTATAGTATACTGCATATGAACTGAGGCCTTTTCTTCCTGGGGTGACATCAAAGCAATTAATTACAGCACACGCAATGTGTAATTCCTTTTTACAGCAACAACCCAGCTCACAGATACTACCTCGCTACTGACCCCGTGACGGGAGATTTGTACGTTTCCGACACAAACACACGCAGGATCTACCGGCCCAGGTCACTCGCGGGTGCCAAAGACCTGACGAAGAACGCTGAGGTGGTCGGAGGGACAGGGGAGCAGTGCCTGCCCTTTGATGAAGCACGGTGTGGTGATGGGGGCAAGGCGGTTGAGGCAACTCTCATGAGCCCTAAAGGTAAACAGGAAGGGCGCGATCATGCTTAATGCAGCAGCTGATTCAAAAATGTGGTTTTGAATAATTTCTTCCAATGGGAAAGACTGCTAGGAAGAGAGGTGCCAGAGAGCCAGGTTGATTTCATAGTCAATATTTGTCTTTTATGATTACTGAATGTTTTGAAATACTCATTTAGATTATGTGTTTGGCAAACAGTGGTGAAGTTTTAAAATCAGTGTTGCATGTGGTGCCACTTAACAGGTTTTCCAGGTTACCTTACATGCTCTCCAATGAACAGCAAGCGCAGTCAGCAGTACAGATTTCGTACTGAACGTTGCTTTGTTATGCAGAGTGAGTTTATGAGTTGGTTTACTACCCGTTGCCTAAGAACATCTTTTCTGCCCTAAATTTCCACTCTTTACATCCCATTTATGCCCTTAGTTACTGATATTTTAACAGCTGGTACAATAAACTAATTTTAATTCTCTTCACTGAAGGAATAGCAATTGACAAGAATGGATTAATATACTTTGTTGATGGGACCATGATCAGAAAAGTGGATCAAAATGGAATAATATCCACATTGCTTGGCTCCAATGACCTGACCTCAGCACGACCTCTGACCTGTGATACCAGCATGCACATCAGCCAGGTAAGTGGGAACTCATTTGGAGAGCTGAACTGGGGCTGCAGGTGCAAATGCAGCTTTCTTTGACCTTAAAATAAAACTGGGTGGAGTTTATAACAACTGGTTGAGAGCAGAATTTGTGGAGAAAGAAACCTTAGAGTAGCAGTGTGTTCTCTTAGCTATAAATGCTGCTGTATTCAATTTTTCTGCCCATAAAGTTCAGTTTAGTTTAGAACAGCAAAACCATCAGCAGGAAGCATTAAGTCTAGTAGTAAATACTGGAAGAATGGCAGATATGTTACAACTCTATTGTCACATTGATGCTTTCTGAATTACTAGCATCCTTAGCCCACTGGAGTGAATGAGACAATACATACAGTGGAGTATGGTGGGTTTTTTTGTTCTCCACAAGTTTATGTAGGTAAGAAGGGATGTCACTAGTGCTGTGTTTAAAAATGGAGTACAGTACCGTGTTTCAGACTGGAAGGCAGTAAGTTATGTTTGCTATGCGAGAATAAAAAACGAGTGCTGCCTATGAAGACTCGACTTTGATATCTATCTCGATTTTTATTTATGCACTGCTGATACAGAAAAGTATAACATTTACTGGAGGGGAAATTTGACCCGTGTTAGAGTTCCAACACTGCTGTTCTTTCAATAAAATAGGTATCCTGACATCTCTCCCTTTGCTCCCTTGAAAATCTTTCATTTGCTGCACGTATTTTTATATAAGAATTCTCATCTGCATTGCTTACAGCAAACAAAAAATATCTTCACGGTATTATCTTAAGCTGAAGGTGAATTTGTTTCATTTCATCCGCACTGGTTAACTGTAATGAACCATTTCTCTCCTTTAAGGTTCGTCTGGAATGGCCGACAGATTTAGCCATCAACCCAATGGATAACTCCATTTACGTTCTGGACAACAACGTCGTTTTGCAGATCACTGAAAACCGGCAGGTGCGCATTGCTGCGGGGAGGCCCATGCACTGCCAGGTTCCCGGAGTGGAGTACACGGTGGGCAAGCATGCGGTGCAGACCACGCTGGAGTCAGCAACTGCCATTGCTGTGTCTTACAGTGGGGTACTGTACATTACGGAAACGGACGAGAAAAAGATTAACAGGATAAGGCAGGTTACAACCGATGGAGAGATCTCATTAGTTGCTGGGATACCTTCAGAGTGTGACTGCAAAAACGATGTCAACTGTGACTGTTACCAGAGCGGAGATGGCTATGCTAAGGATGCCAAACTTAATGCCCCCTCCTCCTTAGCTGTGTCTCCAGACGGCACGCTGTACATTGCTGATCTTGGCAACATTAGGATACGGGCTGTGTCAAAGAACAGACCCTTACTGAATTCGATGAACTTTTATGAAGTTGCTTCTCCAACCGATCAAGAGCTTTATATCTTCGATGTCAATGGTACTCACCAGTACACTGTGAGTTTAGTCACCGGAGACTATCTGTACAATTTTAGCTACAGTAATGACAATGACATTACCTCAGTCACGGACAGCAATGGGAACACTCTGCGTATCAGGCGGGATCCCAACCGGATGCCAGTGAGAGTGGTCTCCCCCGATAACCAAGTCATCTGGCTGACGATAGGCACGAATGGGTGTTTGAAAAGCATGACTGCACAAGGACAGGAGCTTGTTTTATTTACCTACCATGGCAACAGTGGACTTCTGGCAACTAAAAGCGATGAAACAGGATGGACCACTTTTTTTGAGTAAGTACATAAAATAAAGCCCCATGCTTTATAGTTCTATTGAGCTCTACAGTACCACTGCAATACTGCTGGGGACTGGTGAGGTAACTGTAACGATAAAGTTTGGTAACAAAATGCAGCAGGGAGACGCTTTCAGTTTCCCAGCCTGTCTAAATCTGTCTTACTCTAAGGATTGGGTCTGCATAATTTTAAATTCATTATCTCCAATTTCAGTTTTATACATTAGAATAATTGTGAGACAACATCTCACTCTTGTCAACAAAGCTGTAATTCAGACAACCATGATTCTGTAGATTTGCATCAAGAACTAAATTTCCATCCCTTTAGCTCATTAGATTGACACTGTTCTGCAGCAAATACTGACAAGAAATCTGCTTCACTGCCGAATATTTTTTCTTCAATTCTCTTAAAGCAACAGCACGCCTTGTGGTCTTTTACCCAGAAAAAAACTGAGTGCGGGCTTTTATTTTTGAAGTTGTGAAAGGTTGTGTTTCATGGAGCAGCAAATATCTGAGAAATGTGAGCCTTGGGGGGAAGTGTCATTCTTGTAGGAAAAAAGGAGGACAAGGAGACCACCAGCAGTGTATGGTATGCTAACAGTGAGAGATACTAGACTTGTAATTTTTCCAGCCTTGAAAAAATTCTTACGTTAACTGTTTTGCCCCATGTGACAGTCATTAAGGCCAACGCCTGTTTGCAACAGCCAGATTAGCAAAAAGTTTTACAGAATCCTCAGATGTATCAAAAGAGGAAGGTTGTGACAATGGATAATGTAGTAGAACCTGACAACTAGATATTGGCATTATAGGCAGCTTCATCCTCAAATGAATTGGACTACCAACTAATACACCCAACAAAACAAAAATACAGCTTAAAATGCAATTTATTTCAGAAAAGACAGATATAAAATTAACAGACCTTTTTCAGTCATCTGTCAATTGGAAAATACATGTATACTTAAATCACCTGAAAGACAGATGCTAAGGTTGGATAAAAATGTGCCTATGAAGACGCAGAGTTAGTATGATAAGTAAAAGTGTTCGAGGGCCCTCCATTGAAGTACTTGGGATTACAAAGGGCATCATGAAAATCCTTTTTTTTTTCTTTTTTTCTCCCTTCTTTTCTTCTATCTTTTAGATGAAATGCAGTAGCAACTGCTGCCAAGGTCAGGGCCAAAAAAAAAGCTTTCAATTCAACACGCATGATAAAGAAAATAAAGTGCTGGTGTCAGGCAGTGGCAGCAAAGCCAAACATCTGTGTTCTGAGATAACTTCACATTTCTGTCAGTGTACATTTGGCTGAGGCAGTGTGCGGGAAGGCTCTGAGCACTTGTATCTACTCTCCAACCTTTACATGTGCCCATCAGAGACACGAGAGCAGCAGGTGTTGCTTCACTGCATATTGTGTCCTGAAGCGGAGACACGGCTAGAAATGCTGATGCCTACCAGAGACAGCAGGTGGAATGGCATCGCTGCCAGTTTTAAGGTATTCTTACAGTAATCTGTAAACTGGCAGGGCTTGGGGAGTGGGCACGTTACCAAAGCATTAGTTCACGCCTGTAATATTTAATGGTGCATTTGTGCATGACTGCACATTTTTTTAGGTCCTGGCAGGAGGACACAGAAGCACAGTGAGGATACACAGGAATGAAAGGCCATTCAGTGGGGAGGGCACATGTTCGGTTCTGCAAGTTACCTGTGCCCTACACGCTCAGAGACCAAAGCACAGCTTTGGATGGGCTGTGAATACTCCTCCATTTCCACAGAGTACATCAAGTGTTTCACTGTGATACACAGAAACCACCTGTTTCCAGTATGCGAGTTTGGAAAGGCAGGGGGTTTGGGGACAGTGAAGTCTCTTACTGAAATTAAGGCATCTGTTGGGTACAGCAGGCACTTCAGATCATGCTGGTGTGCATACTGGATAATTGAGGAGCCAGAGTTCTAATCAGGGCAATAATTTCTCACCATGAGTGTGTGCTTTTTGTGTGCCTACAGTAGTGTACTGCTGATGGCCCCTGAATGTACCTTAATGGCATCAGCAAGATTGCAAAAGGAGTAGATTTTATGTTCACTAGTAAATGTTTTATAGGTCTGTATTTTTCATCACAAGAAGAACTTAGGGTTCTGCATGTCAAGAAATACATAGTTACTTATGGAGTCTCTAAGCAGCCATCTTTCACATCTGATCTGCTTTCATTTAGACTTCCTAGTCGGCATTAGGTCTGTCCAGCTGGCTTATGCAGAGCCCAAAGGGCAGACTGTTCCCCTCAGAAAGTATCGGTATCATTTCCAAACTGCTGCTTATGTACTTCCTAAATATCTCAGACCACAGTCTCACTGGAAGACCCAAGCCAAAATAATTACGGCGAGAGCTAAGCAGTTCCTCTCACCCCAAATCTGAGGCTGTATGAGGCTTTTGCAGAAGATATTAATCTCCTCCTCGTATCTGTGGCAAATTAAAATTCTGTTTAATCGCAACGAGGAAGATTCAGATTAGACACTTGCAGAAACTTGGTGGTGAAGGCAGAGGAGCCCTGGGGCGGACAGAAGTGACCCCTTACCCTGTGCAGGCTGCCCTTAAGAGCAGATTAGACATCTTTGAGGACTAACTTAAGAAGAACAGATCCTGCCTTGGGGTAGGGGCTGTATCATCTGACCTCTCAAGGTCCCTTGCAGTCATGTTTTCTGTGATGCTCCATACAAGTTAATACCAAAAATAAAAAGTAGTGCTGATTATGTAAAGCCACAGGGAATAAGTGGGGAAAAAAAAGTTATTTTTCTTGCCAGAGCAGCACTCTTGAAAACATCCATCAGGCATCGCAGCTGCTTTTTTGCTTTTTGGGTTGTTTTGTTTTGGTTTTTTTTCTGACATAAAATCCCCATACACTAAATTTATGTCTGTGTACTTCCCTTTTGAAGAAAAAGCAGATATAAGCATGCCCATTCTGACATCTCTTATTCTAGGATCAACAAACATTGTTTTGACTTTGCTTTTCAGTGCTGATGATTTGTAATAGTAAGTCTGACATCGGCAGCCCTTCCAGAGCCTTCTGCAACCACTGCCAAAATGGAAACTAGGCTTATTGCATCAGGGCTTGCATTGGGGTGACACAGTGCACTTGTGTGCATGCGTCTCAGTCCCAGCTTTTGCATATTCATGTTGGTAGGTAGCGTGGGCTAAAATGTATGCAGCTGAACACTTCTCTGCTGAATTAAGTGAACTCCTGGTAAAACAGTAAGGTTTCCCTAGGATGCCTGGCTAGGAATAAGAAATTAGAAGAAGAAATCTTTCTGACTTTCTTATTCTATTTTAGTAACAGCAAAATATTTCAGTTTCATTGCTGGAGACATTTTCTTTTTATATAGTAATTTATGTATTTTATATACTTTATTCACTCTATGTTATTACTCAGCTTCTCAAAATATTTTGAGGAGGTAACAAAGCTTATATTCCGTGGTGAATTTAGACTTTCTTCCAACTCTGAGGCAAATCTTCTGAACTGTCAGAGCATGGAATGGAGGTGGCATTTTTCAGCTCTCACCGTGTTTCACCATTTGGTGGTCCTGCACCTGTTTGAATGGCAGAAGTTACAGTGGTGTAAAAATACTGCATTTCTTGTGATAAAAAAATCTGTTTTTTAAGCCAATCCAGTAATAGTTTTGCCATCTCCTGTCTTGTGCAAATGTGTTGTACAATTGCAGCATGGATTCAACTGAGTTCTTACTGGTATAGGAGTAGATTTAAGACAACTCTTTTATTGTTTTTTAGAACAACTTCTTAGTGAAAAGAAAGAATCTTGGAAGAAAAACACTCCATCCCAAAAATTGGCAATCACTTCCCTGGCATATATTAAAACATCTTTTCATGATTTTCTGTTAGGGCTTCTTTCTCTTCCCACAGACGAAGTCACACTAGTATCAGATCCAAAAGATTTTTTTTTTTTCACTTGATCTGGACACTAAATAATCTAGGTTTTATTTTATTTAGTCTCCACTTTGCCTAAGGGAAGGACTGACACAATGGCAATCTTTCTATTTTATATGCTCTTTTAAATGAAAATTGCAAGCACTTGTAATCAGAAGTGAATAACCAAAGGGCCCTGTGGTGCCCCTAGAGGGAGGCAAACCCACAGCCTGCACTCCTGGTCTCCTCAAATGCCCCGCCATGCCAGCTCTGGCCAGCCAGGCTTTCAGTTCAGCTGAAAATGCTTTAAAACCCCACTACTAACAGAGTGGCTGGTGATGCTTAAGAGGGCAAAGTATTCCAGAACAGGGATGTTAGATGGAAGTCTGCATTGTCAAGGCTGTGGTGTTTGTCTACGCTGTGTACCTGGCCCTCAGGTGTCTCCCCACTAAGGATGGTTTGGGACGGATCAAGATGACTGGAGCCACGGGGCATCTGCAGGCTGCGTTGTGCTGAGGTGAGCAGACTGATCAGTCCCAGAAACAATAGATGCTGCAGTTCCAGGCATTTGCATTCTTTTCTGACTTGTGCCTGGTGCCTCCATTTCCCTGCAAGGTGCAGACTGTATGGGATCGCCTTCGGCTTTCTCTCACCCCTGTAGTTAATCTGAGATAACTTTGTTCCCTATACGGTGTGTTATTTCCAGTAGCTGCTGATCATTATCTCCTTCCTGTGTTCTCCCCCATTCACATCACTCTCCTTTTGGGAGCAATGTCAGCAGGCAATAAATATCTGATCTGCACTAAGACGCCTCCTTCTCTTCCCTGCAATTTCACTCCCTTTTATCCATGTCTCTTTTTGCCTCCCCAGCCCTTCCTGTCCTACTAGGTTTCCAGATGTCCCTAGTTGGTATCTTGCTCCTTCCCGTGTCTCCTGTTATTTCTCTTAAGGCATTTGGCTTCTTCCCTGCCTCCCCCTTTCCCAGAGGTGCTTTTCTTCTCAATCCCCTCCTGTAACTCTTGACAGTCCATCCAATCCTTCCCCGGGCACTTCATGCCCTGAGCTCATTTGTCTTCTCATTCTTCTCCACCCTCTCTCGCTCAATTCTTGTCTCCCAGGGAATGCAACAGAAATCAAAGAGAGTGACATTAGCAAGCAGAGCTCTTACAAGTTTACTTTGCTCCCACAGTTAAATTAATGAGCTTTCCAGCCATTTTGGAAAGGTGATGAAATTGTGCAGAATGTGAAATTATCCTTACAATAATTTAACAGAGAAAATTGCAGGTGAAATCTATTTCCAGTGTGTGCTGCAGAGCATCATGCTTTACATATTACGCTTTTATTAACAATGCATTCAGTGCTGTGGTTTCCTTAAAACTTTGTGATTCAGACCAAGACACTGCCTCTGGCGTGGACTTGTTTAGTTTCTCCACGTACCAGACACATCATCTGTAACTGTCTGCATTAGGCAACAGGGAGCTGATGATATTTTGCAGTTTTTCTCTTGCTTCATCTTAATGGATTTCTTGTGGAGTCTGATTTGGAAATACTGAGATTTGGCCTGTAAAAAATCTAAAGAACTTCTACTGGGAGATTTAATTTAGAGAAAAGCAAATATTTAATCTTGATCAGATACAAATTATCTTCCAGTTAGTGTCAGATCAGTTGCTGCTTTATTACATATTGGGATGTCTGCAATTCACGTTGCAATTTTAGCATTTGTGTATGATTTCCTTTCAATTTGTGGGTGTTCATTTGTTTCTATTTGTGTTCATTTTTCTATCACATTTGTGTTTCAGTACTTTGAGTATCTAAAAAATGACTAATGTCTATTTCTTGCAATTTTTGGGCTTTCATTCAAATTTGGTTTTGTTTTCTTACAAATACCAGGACTCTGTACAAAAATTGCAATCTTTTCCTTTTTTTCATCTACTCTAAACAGTATTCTCTGAATGTCTTTGGTTTCATAGCACTCTAGATATTATTCTCTCTTTTACCATCAACAGCCTTCTGTACCTTTTGCTTTTACTGTTGCAGCTTCTTGCTTCATCTGTCTACAGTGTAGTAGCTATGAAGTAAGTAACCATATTCTTAAATTAGATGAGTTTGTTCACATGATTTTCAAATTCCTGCACTGACTTTTGTAGCATTCTCGTGAGCCCCTGCGTGCAAACCATGTCTTAGGTAAGACACCAAGTAAGCGTGGTGTCTCATCATTCAATATTTTATTTACTCAAGCAACTTAATGCTCATTCTCTTCATTCTTAATACTTTCTTAAGTTTTTTGGGGGGGATATTTTTTTATATCCAGTCCTTGTGCACATGTTTCTTTATCCACACTGCCTATCCAAATCCAGTGTACATTATGCATATTTCCCTCTTAAAGTACACTTCAGGGACTGTCTGGTTCTCTGTTAATCAAAACTTGGTGTTTCTCTCCCTCTCAACATGGCACAAATTGAAACTCCTGTAGGCAAAACCTCTCTCACTCTTACACAGACCCATGGACACAAGGCTGGCCAAGAAGCCATTAGCATTTCCCTCTATCCAAACCCGCTAAATATTCCCTCTGTCCAAGAGAATTTATCAAGAAAAATATCTAGCTGATGCATTCAATTTGTGTGTGGTCACAGCAAGTTGAAGAACACTGCATGTTGTAAACCTTCCCATCGATGACACAGACACATAACTGTGTTCATGCAGCATGCCATTTCTGAGGAGATCTTATGACAGTTGTGCTTGCTGTCCGTACTCACCATACTCCTTCTTTAGATAAAACTGTTAAGAAGCTTTTCTGATTTCTTACACATCCTTTTGATGAGAATAGATGTCATGGTCTCACAGTTTCCTTATCTGTAACATAACTCAGTTCCACAGTAAATTTTGTAATTCCAATGCAGTATACTGTCATACAGTACAGTAGGGCCATGCTGTCAGTGTTGCACGCCACATTGCTGCTTCAGACTCATCCTACTAAATAGACTTTGAAAATCATCTATACCATCATATATCAACGTAAAATTTTTCATTGCACTTGTCCCCTAATTGTTCTGATATCAGTAGTAGAACTGCTCTACCCTTTTGTTGAATATTTGCTATTCCTTGTCCTTAAAACTAGGCTAAGTTATAAAAGTAGAACTGAGAAAGTACTGAATAGGTAATATTATCAAAATAGCAACCCTGAGGAGACATATCAACATCATTACATCTTACATGTATGAGGAAGAGTGGAGAAGCTTTGATTTCTGCCAAGAAAATCAACATATGATGTCTCTGTGGTTTTGGAAAGCACTTAGAAGAATAGTACAGCAAAAAAAACCCACACAGTATTGTTCTTATTAATGACATAAATGCCCTGAATTGTCAATCCAATCAACTCTGATTACACTTCTGAAAGTATCCATTTTGCTTCTGGCTTTATCAAGAATATAATACCATTTGTTCAGTTATCCTCATGCTAATATTCTTATCCCATGTTCGCTTTCTATGTCAAATAAAAATCAGTGAGGCTACAGCCAAGCTTCCCATCTCTCCTCTACGCTCACTTCACTGGAAGCCAGTGCACTGAGTGGTGAAAGGCAGTTGCAGACCTCATGTCAACAGCACTTTTCAGTCACGCTGTATTCAAGTCCTCTTGTTCAAGCCTCATCTGTCATCATTTCTTTCCCCAGGCACTGCTTTTTTAATGCAAAGCACCATTCCCCTGAAATACCTGTCTCTGAGGGAAGTCATTTTGGATTAGGTGGTAAAGATGGTCAGTTTTACTGAAGATTTGGTCAGCCATTATGCCATTATGTTGTTTTGGTCTTTGTCCATTTTTTCCAATTCCTCTGTGCTTTGCATCCATCTGCCTTTCACATATCTCCTTTGTGGGTCTCCTACAGGAAAACAGAGAGCAATTTTTTAGGCTTTTGTAACCTATTTTTCAAAGGAGGCTGTATTTCCAAAGCCATAGGCTTATACCTGTCAGTAATCAGTGCTGAATTTATTAGTGCGAATTTAACATTTATTAACTTGAATTAACTCTAACTTACTAATCCAATGAAGTTGCTGCAGTTAACATGGAAATTGATAATTTGGGTAGAAGGGCATGTCCTCAGTGAGGCCACACTGATGAGCTTCTTTGGGAGTCCTACCCAATTTTCTCCAAGGATGGGGCAGTTCTGAAGTCTGCACTGCATGGGTCTGACTCAACACCCAAGGAACAAGAGTGCTATTCAAAATTAAGCACAGAACCTGCATCTAGCAATATTTTTTACTATCTGGGCAATCTGCTGTCCTAAAAAAAAATACATACCTGTATAATTCTGATTTCCTTTTGCTAAATATTCAAACAATGTAACTTATTAAGTTCATTATGTCCAAGTTGGTTATTGCGGCTCTGTAAAAACACTGATAATTTTTACCGTAAAAGAGGAGGAAAAAGGCAGCAGTGTAACTTATTTGTAAACAAAATGTCTGACTGAGGAGACTTGCCTCTTTTTGCATGGAAGGCCTCAGCTCTGATACTGTAAGCAGACCTTAGAGCAAGGGCCAATCTGTCATACAAAGTGCATACACACCAACTTTTCTTCTGTTTGACAGGCTATATTCCTGTATTTATATCAGCAGGGCGCACTGTTTATCTGCACAGTGATGGATGGCGTAGGGAAGAGGGGAGGAAGCAGCCTCAGGGAGCCCTGAGATCAAAGCTGCCATGCACAGGGAGCTGCTGAAGGGTGGGTGCTCACCCCGCACACTCGGCAAAAACATGAGCCCAGACCCTGTGGGCTGATGGGGGGTGAGTTCCCATTAGAGGGAAGTGGAAAGGCAAGGGATGAGGGTTGAGGTCTTATAGATAAAAGCCTGGCTGTGGGTCTGTGCTGCCTGCCTGCTGTAATGTAGTCTCATCCTCATACAAACAATCCTGATACTATTGACCTTGAATCAGCTGCATTCCGTTAAAAAATGTCACAAGTGTTCAAAAGGGGTGAGGAGCAACCACAACTTCAGGAAGCTGCTCTATCCCCAGGTAATGCCTCTAAGTTCAGTCACACCACCTGTGCCCAGCTGCTCCCAGTGCACCCCTTCCCCCTCAGCATACACTAGTCATTCTGACTGCTTCTCAGAGAGCCAGCATCCCTCACACAACCTATTTACCCAGCCTCTTGTGTGTGTAAGTACTGTGTCAGAAATGAGATGGGAGTCCTTAAAAGGATATAGAAAGCAGGTGTTTATCACAGCAAACAGTGCAGTGCTAGAAGACTGCAACGTCGCAGTCTCATGCAAGTTCCAAATAAAAAGGCTTGGCATTCTTCTGGCAAAAAGTAAAGATGAAGTCACAATAAACTCATGTATTGCTTCATTCACTGCAAAACACTGTTCCCCCAAAACACCCATCTGGGAGTCATTTTGGATTAGGCTGTCCAATGGTCATCCTAGGGAAGTGCAGGGGAACTCATGCTTGTTCTCATTGTTGTGTGATGAAGTGGAAAATGAGCATCTTGATCTGGAGGGGAGAGAGCTATGGGGGGGGAGGAAGGGGGAGAAAGGTGCTGGTTCTTTGCTTGGAGCTCCTTTCCAACAGACATTTTCTGCAGTGATTGTGGTTTTAGAGTGTGCCTGTTGTTTTGCAGATGACTTACAGCTGTCAAGAATTTAGATGAATTCTTTGCATGTCTAGTATACTGAATGCTTGTTTACAGAAAAGACTGAAAATTTTAAAGTTATGACAAAATAGAAACACAAAAAAGCCTCAAATGCTGCAGTAATTATGGGAGAAGGGGAAAAGAAAAATTGCCAATCACTTTCAAGCTCAGGTAATTTCTTCATTAAACACGGGCTGAAACATTCATAATGACCAGCCTGTTGAGATAAAAAACCATCACCTGAATTATGTAACAAACAGTTGGATCAGACTATCCCAAATGAAACTGGGATGAAGACTGGGAAGCAGCAATGAGACAAAGGGACAGAAGGTGACCATCTGCTCAAATTTAGGTTTGAACTTTCTGATACTTTGTTGATATAGAGAGGACAGAGAAATTTAGCTGATACTTAACAGACTTTTAATGCCTTTCCAGCCTCTGTATGTTATGAGTTTGTATTTTCTGTCCAAATTCCATTTTAAAATCAAGTTGTAACAGATAAGTTCCTGTCCAGAGTTGAATTTCAGGCTGCATTTTACTTCAGGTCCTTTAAAGCACCACTCCAAGACCTATTTTCTGTGATTTTTATTTAGCTGTATTTTGTTTGAGATCAGCTCCATCTCACTCCTCCTGTGCTTGAGATGGGATATGGAGAAGGTTGAGAGGGGAGGGTGAAAGAAAGGAGGGGTAGGGCAGCAAGATAAAGGAGGATGTTTTTCACATACTTACAGTTCTGTAAGATTGGTAAGAATACTGATTTATTTTTTTCTTGTGCTTAACAACTTTCCAAGCAAGAACAAAAGAAAAATGCCACCAGTATCAGACAATAGTTTTTAAAAAATCAAGCTGCTTGTCATAACTTACAAGCCTACGTACATACATCAAATTGTCATTTTTGACATATTTGTTCCCTTCTTGCTATGTTTAAAAAAAAAAAAGGAATGTTAGAAAGACATACAGCTATCTCATTGTTTATGGTTCCATTGGAAAAAAAAATATCTACTTAATACTTACTTAAAAGTAAGTTATAGTTTAATATTTTGAGTTACCGGATACATTTATATTATGAGTTAACAAGTAAGCTGTTACACCTTTTAAGTTCAAATACACATTGTGCAAATAAAAGAATCTGTACATACGGTACTTCAATTAATATTATTTTAAGAAGGCAGATTATAAATGAGTAGTTGTGGATCAACTGATGTATGTATATCAGTAAGTCTATAAATTTAAAAAAAAAAGGCAAAATTGTTTGTTTATCCATGCATGTGTAGATTATTTTGTTTGTTCATTCTTAGCAGGATTATTCAGTCACTCTTCAGATAAATAAAAGGCAAAAATGCATATCAAAATTGGGAAAGCAAGTCAGAAATGGAGCTAAAGGGGAAAATTATAATGTTATAATGTTGAAGGTGAGGGTCTTTGCCTCTCTTCTGACAGTAATGGTTAAAGATGGTTGGAACAGATCCAGTAAGTTATTGTGCTCCGTTTTTTTACAGTGAAGGACAGGAGACTTCCAGACCAGCAATGAAATGACAGAGAAACGAATTATATACAGACTGTGCTTTTGTTTCCTCTTCATCAGTTAGGATGACCATTTTGTCACTGGTTAAGCAAGGCAGTGATAACCAATCCAGGTGACTTAGGGTGGCTTCTCTTTTCTGCTGTTTTCAAACTGTGAACTAACTTTTTGGAGGAACAACATTTGAAGTATGTTATGAAAGGCTAGATACAACTGAAAGAAGGGATTTGCAAAATGAGAAACATTATTTAACAGTCCTTATTCTAAATGTGAACTTAATGGCCTCAACAAGCTCAATGAGGCATTTCATCACCAGGTTAGGGTAGATCTTCAGTATGGATCAACACAGTGATTATACATCTAAACAAACCCCACACCACACTGCTCTGTGGAAAGTGAACTTTAAACTTCCTGTGTTCACCCACCAGTAAGCAGCAAGTTGATATTAAAGCCTTCCTACAAACACCTTGAAACAAGTAGGGTAATGTTCTGTGAAATTTCTAACAACTCTTGGTAATTCAAGATGCACAGAGGAAATGCCTGGCGTATGCTGAGTGAGTGTGTAACAGTACTTTTCATTCCACCGTCAAAATTATACATGTCTGCATTATGAAATGCATTCATGCCTCATTTCTCTAATACTGTATCCCAATTAAGAGTGTAATTCATAACCAGCCTTTATTGAAATACATGACATACATTTGCACGTATGTCTTGTTATCTGAAACGTGCAGAAACCAACATGCCTTGCTCTTTTACCTGACATGTTTACAACAACAGAAAAAAAAATATATTTTGTTACAGGAATATGCTACAGAGGTCTCTGGAAAAAACAGCATCAGTCATAACTTAGCTATTGGCTTTAGCAGCAACCTTTACTATACACCTCATTTCTGTAGTTCCCTATTTTATGTTGAAGTAACTTCCAATATAGAACATTAATAATGCTCTGTAAGTTGGGGTTAAGCTAAATGTGCTCCAAACTAAGAAGCACCTCACATGAAAAACAGGACAGAAATAAAGAAAGTAGGACATTTCCATCTGTGACAAGGATTACCAGGAAGTTATCACTGCAAAATGAAAAGTGTCCTACATAGACTAAAACAGAAAAATGGTCTAGGACAGAATGTAATTAAAACTAAAGAAGATGAACAATGGAAGAGAGATCTCTAGCAGGTAAAGAGCAAGAGGTCAAGAATCTGGGAAGCTGATAATATGGGATGGCGTGCATCCCAGGGTCCTCAAGGAGCTGGCTGAGGTGGTTGCCGAGCCGCTCTCCATCATATTTGAGAAGTCGTGGCTGTCAGGTGAGGTCCCGGATGACTGGAGGAAGGGTCACGTCACTCCCATATACAAGAAGGGGAGCAGGGAGGACCCGGGGAACTACAGGCCGGTGAGTCTCACCTCCGTGCCTGGGAAGATCATGGAACAGATCCTCCTGGACAACATGCTCGATCACATAAAGAATGAGCATGTGATCCGAGACAGCCAGCACGGCTTCACCAAGGGAAGGTCATGCCTGACTAATCTTGTGGCCTTCTATGATGGAGTGACGGCATTGGTGGACCAAGGGAAGGCGACCGATGTCATTTACCTGGACCTGAGCAAGGCCTTTGACATGGTCCCCCACCACATCCTCATCTCCAAATTGGAGGGAAGTGGATTTGATGGGTGGACGACCCGATGGATAAGCAATTGGTTGAAAGGCCGCAGACAGAGGGTGGTGGTCAATGGCTCTATGTCCAGGTGGAGGCCGGTAACAAGTGGTGTCCCCCAAGGGTCTGTCTTGGGACCGGTGCTCTTTAACATCTTTATTAATGACATCGATGAGGGAATTGAGTGCACCCTCAGCAAGTTTGCTGACGACACCAAGCTGAGTGGTGCGGTTGATACGGAGGAAGGAAGGGATGCCATTCAGAGGGACCTCGACAGGCTTGAGGGCTGGGCTCGGGTGAACCTAATGAGGTTCAACACGGCAAAGTGCAAGGTTTTGCATTTGGGCCGGAAGAACCCCAGGCACCCGTACAGGCTGGGAGGAGTGGTCCTTGAGAGCAGCTCGGCAGAGAAGGACCTCGGGGTCCTGATGGACGAGAGACTTAACATGAGCCAGCAGTGCGCTCTGGCAGCTCGAAAGGCAAATGGGATCCTGGGCTCCATCAGGAGAGGGGTGGTCAGCAGGGAGAGGGAGGTGATTGTCCCTCTCTACTCGGCTCTTGTGAGGCCCCACCTGGAGTACTGTGTCCAGGTGTGGAGCCCTCAGTACAAGAAAGACATAGAGATTTTGGAAAGGGTCCAGAGGAGGGCGACTAAGATGATCAGGGGGCTGGAGCACCTCCCCTATGAGGACAGGCTGAGGGAGTTGGGCTTGTTCAGCCTGGAGAAGAGAAGGCTGCGGGGTGACCTCATTGCAGCCTATCAATACCTGAAGGGAACCTACACCCAGGAGGGGAGTAAACTCTTCAGAAGGGCTGAGAACAGCAGGACTAGGGGAAATGGATCCAAGTTGAAGGAGGAAAGATTTAGGTTGGATGTTAGGGGGAAGTTCTTCACAAGGAGAGTAGTTAGGCCCTGGAACGGGCTGCCCAGGGAGGTTGTGGATGCCCCGTCCTTGGACGTGTTCAAGGCCAGGTTGGACGGGGTCCTGGGCAACCTGATCTGAATGTGTATGTTTGGTGGCCCTGCTAGGCAGGGGGGTTGGAACTACATGATCCTTGAGGTCCCTTCCAACCCAGGTGATTCTGTGATTCTGTGATTCTGTGATTCTGTGATAATTATTATCTCTGTGGATTTGTCACTGCAGAAGAGGAAAACTAGCCAGCAATGGCAGTTCATCCTAAGGAAGGAAACAAATTTGATCTAAAGGGAAATTCAGCAAGAGGTGATGCCCCTGTCCTTACTTCTGTCTTCTGAAGTTACCGGCCAGACAAAAAGATCATTGAGTTAATGAGTGAAATAGTGTTGGTAGGATTAAAACACATGAGGTAAACGAGTATGCAATTTTTGGTTTAGGTTCCTGAAAAGCTGATGTGCTGCCTTCTCTTGAGGAATGCAAGAGGTTGGTTGAATGGCTTTGCCATGGAGCCTCTCACAGGAGACAGGTCAGAGGGCTCAGCAGTAACGTGTACTTGAGTTGTGAAATGCCAAATATAGGTGCTTGCCCTATAGACTTTATGTCTCATTCCTTTTAGGGCAATTTCAATATTAGAACACTAGACAGATAAAAGAAATCTCTTGGTCTAAAACTGACAAACTTGGATGAATAAATTCACCTTGGCAGCCGAATGCAAGGATATTTGGATGTAATAAGAAAAATGGTATAGGAATGCCCAAAGGTATGAGTGATGTTGCTACGTTGAGCATTGATAAGGCTTTCATTGTCAGCAAAAAGATATCAAGTATAAAAGTAAGTTTAGTATTCAACGTGCTGTGAACAGCATGAAGGGCACACATTATAATCCATCACATAATGGAGTATATAGTAAGTTATAAAAAGACCTATTGCCTTTTTTCTGTTCCTGGCTATAAAAGTAGGAGAAATTCTGTTCTTACCTTTCACATCTCACTCATGTTTTTTTCCTGCATTTGGATGCCTGGATCAAGCAATCACAACTGTTTAGATTCTTTTCACTTTCAGGACATGTTTTTAAGAACATGAATGAGTAGCATGAATTTCTGTTGATCTTTGAGCTCTCCCCCTCTGCAATAATATTAGCTGCAATAATAATTATTATAATATTAGCAATAATAATATGCTGTAGTGAAGCCATACACTACTGAAAGCTACTGATGCATATTGTTTTTCAATGCAAGTGCTGAACTGAGAAATATAACTTCTCATAAATACTGTGATTCAAAGGGCGAAAAGTTCTCACAGAAAAATCTTACCTTTTATGGCTTTAGGAAGCATTGGTCAAAACAAAAACTGGCACTTGGCTCCTAGAATCAAAGGATGCAAGTAGTTCCCAACAAGATAACTTGATAGTATTTTCAGGCATTCCTCTGTAAAGTGGAAAACAGAAAAGGACACTAATTGGAGAATGTATATTCCCCTGGGAGTTAAAGAGGGAAGTTGTGTGTGAAAAAAAAAAATTATGGAACCAAAGGTCATTAATGGGTTTGCAGTCAAATTTGCGCTCAAGGAATGTTGGTATGTTTGTTTTAGTTTCTTGCATACACGCAGTATTTCTGCTTGCCAAGTCTTGTACGTGAAAGAGAGCCAAAATTAGGGATAGAAACACCCTGGAAAAAAGAAAAAAACAAAAAGGAAACTTTTATCTTGAAATATACTTAACTTCAAGAAACAAGTTTTCCCACTTGATTTCCCTGGCTTGCAGAAGGGTTTCTGATTTTCAAACATTCTTTTCTTTTCCCTGTTGCTAAGTGAAAGTCTCTCATAAACAAAGGAAATCAACTGTGTTAAAAGGATGAAAATGACTGTGTGCAAAAAGCTGTCATCTACAGAGTAAGCAAACTGGAAAAAAAAAATTCTTAACCTAATCCTTTCAGTTACAGCAATCCGTTCAGTGCTCATGATATTCAGAGAAAGTAAGCGTACTGTGGGTTAAAACCATTTGGAATTAATTCTCCCCATTTAAAAATGAGTTTCTGTAGCCTCAGTGATATGCTTGGAGTTTTGGGGATTTTTTTGAGGGGTTTCTCTTTCAAAGGGAGCAATTTTGATAATAATTGTAAATATGAAGTTCCTAGCACATGTTGTGGATCTGCAGGGTTGTGTTATAAGGGCTTTGGGAGACTAAAGCTTCCTTTAGCTTCCTCCTACGTAGTTGTGGTATGGATGGGCAGCTACAGACAGCAAATAGGTCTTAGGTGGGTTGAATCACCCTTTAGATGTTTTTCTCTGTTGCAGATACAGAGAGACTATACTTGTGAACTCGGAGCCTCCGTAGAACACCTAATCTGATGAATCTAGGCTGTCACACTGGAGGAGCTAATCTCAAAGGCAGTTGTGTGACCTGAAGCTTACACAATGCCTTGCCTCTGAACTCTAAGACTGCAATGGTTTTGAGCATGCTCTTGGTCTGGTGTTTGAAAAACCTGATGGAAGTATGCCATCACACTTACTTGAATGTCAGAAAGTGCAGTACTTCTGATGGGATCACTTCCTTCGTCTTGTTTGTCGCATACACAGAGCTGTGCATATCTTATCTGTGGTATTAATAGCTGGAGTACACCTAACAAACACAGCACATGAAAAGATATGCTTCAGAAGTCCTAAGTCTATTTCACTAAATGGCATTGTATCTACCTATTCATACATAAATGACTATATAGCTATTAGTTTAAAGAAATGTCAGCAAAGACAGAAAACACACCTCCTGCATGGTTTGTGCCACAGTTCTCAAGCTAATGAGTTGCATATGATATGATTTCCAGCTACAAACAAATAGCTTAAGTAGTAGAATAAATATTACCCAAGATCCTTTCTCTGAATAATACAAAGGATGTTAAGTGCTCAGGAATGGGAGTGCAAGTGCTCTGCCTACTCAGCAACTAAGAAGGGCCAAAGGAAAAGTGTGAGAATTCCTACAATAACAGCAAAAATCTATTCTGATCTTAGGGAGTGAGTGCAGAATGATACAGAATTTAGCACTGACTAATACACTCCCTTTGAAATGGTGTGTCAGTTGTGCAGCGGGATCTGGTCACACTTTGAAGAATAATATGTGGAGCTGAGGATCCATCTGTTTGCTCTTGCTGTCACCATTGAGGCTCCTATATGTTAAACAGTCTTTTCACTGCTTCCAAGCATGCTTGAAGGCTTTGCTGTGCCTATCCCATGCACAAAAATTAAATGTGCCTCAGCAATTCTGTGTAGCTGGTATTTTGATTCGTCTTACTTGTAAATGAAAACAATTTGTTCCATGCCATGTATCACTTAGGAACTTTTTTGTTTTTTTAAGCTACGATAGTGAGGGCCGTCTGACAAATGTTACATTCCCAACTGGAGTTGTCACTAACCTTCACGGGGAAATGGAAAGAGCCATTACAGTGGACATTGAATCATCCAGCAGAGAGGAGGATGTCAGCATCACTTCCAACTTATCATCAATTGATTCTTTCTACACCATGGTTCAAGGTACTGTATACAAAGGATTTCTCAGATACTGACCTGAAACCGAATTTCTTGTAGTACAAGCAGCTCAAATCAGAAGCTTTACAGGCCTAATGTTTGGAGGAGGAGGTGATACATAAAAAGATCTGTTCAGGGAAGGAAGGAGGTACAATAAAAGTGTAATGAAATGTTTCCTAATCAAATAACTTAAGTGAGATTTGGGCTTTAAAATAGTACATGAGATTCCAGCAGCCACATCCTAGCAAAAGTCAGTAGTCACAGCAGGCACAGGATGAGGCAAAAAATGTCTAATGAAGCAGCAGAGAATACATTTTGTGCCATACTCTAGAGGTGGGATTTTTCTTAAATGTTTAAGTGAATTTGAAGGTATGTCCCAAAGGCATTTGTGTTTTCCTGTGATATGTGTGTATACAATATGGATGTCGTCATCTCTCTCATCCTTGGGTTTTATTTCCAGTGTGTCTGTAGGTAAAGGTGTTATATGCATACAGTGTATAAGGAGTGCAGGACAAAGAAAGAATTAACACACATATGTGTGTTTCCGTTTGTTATTTGTTTGTTTGTTTTGGTTTTCTTTTGCATTTTCAGATCAGTTAAGAAACAGCTACCAGATTGGCTATGATGGCTCACTTAGAATCCTGTATGCCAGTGGCCTGGATTCTCACTACCAGACGGAGCCGCATGTCTTGGCTGGCACTGCCAATCCAACAGTGGCAAAGAGAAACATGACTCTGCCAGGGGAGAATGGGCAGAACCTGGTGGAGTGGCGATTTCGGAAGGAGCAAACCCAGGGAAAAGTCAACGTATTTGGCCGAAAGCTCAGGGTAAGCATGCAAACAGGCATGGGTAGTGTCTACTGCATTCTTACTTACAGGAAGATAAACACATTCTTGTAGATACTGCCATCCAGCAGCCACAGAATATTTACCATAGGTAAGCTTAGTGTTGATCTGGAAGTTGTTGCTTTTATTACTTTGTGTCTTCTTCCTTATTACTCTTTTCTGTAAAATCTACACTGGCTTTAGCCTGCAATGACTTGAAAAGAAAAAGGATAAAAAGATGATTTTTAGATTTGCCTTCACTTCTTATTTCCAGCGCTGAATTCACATACCTGATTTTAAATTGTTTTAAATTATTGTACCATAAGCCACCATGGGCCCAGAGTTTTCTTTCTTTGCAATTTTTAATAAAAGTTGTACTAATACTTATTTCTGGTAGAGAGAGTTCAACTGTGTGATTGTGAATGACATATTCCTCTAACATATGTCTTTACCATTTTGTTGGCATTTCTTCTTCCTATATAGTGAGTGAAATGTAAGTAGGAAGCAAACTGATTTATGACAGCCATTTGGTAAAGACAACATAGATTAAGCATTTGAAATAGAGTTGCCAGGAAACCATTTCAAGACTACATTGGAGGTCTGACATATTAAGACTGAACTCAATTGTTTAAAATAAGGCCTAAGCAGTATATCAGGTAAAGGTAAATAATTTCAAACCACTTGACTTCTAAGATAGTAACATGCTACTTTTAAATTTAAAATTTTTATATTTTCCTTTGGGAAGGAGAGAATGCTGTCATGCATCTTACATTTCTACTACTTGCCCTGAAAGAGTAATTGATTTTTCTCCAGGAAGGAAGGATGATTAGATACAACAGCTGCTGCTTAAGAACAACATACTTGCATCTAGCTATGGTAGCGGGAAGAGCAAAAGGAACCCCTGCTTATGAAGCTCATCCTTGGTTCTGGTTAATAGTTGTTTCATTACATAACAAGGTGATAGAGTAAATCTGCCAATTCATTCTTGAAGGAAGCCTATGGAAAAGTAAAATAACAATATTGATTATATTTGGTTTTGGCACTGAAACAAATCTCCCTTAGTCCAGTTCTAAAAAGAAAAGCAAAGTTGATTCAAATACTAAGGAGGTTAAAGAAATGTCAAGGGAAACTCTGATTTGAAAGAGTTGAAAGAAGAAAGAGCAAAGAGGTGGGAAAGATCTAACCTAAGAGGGAGGAAGTGAAAGATCATAAAATAGTATAAAATAGCAGTAATTAAAAATGTATATACAAATGGGAGAAGTAGAGCAAGCAGAGGGTGTGGCCTAATAATTGATTTACCAAAAAAAAAGGGAAGATTTTTTCAAAGTAATTTACATAGGAAGAAACTATAGAAAGTTTGCGGAAGGGGCAGGAGGGGGGGTTGTAGGAAAACAGAAAAAGAAACCAGGATCAGAAAGAGTACAAATAACTCACAGAGTTCATCATTTCCATCTACAGATACAGCAGTAACATTTTGCTGCAAAGAAAACAAATGTAAACAAAATGTAATGAAAATATGTAAATGTACTCATATATATGCGGTATATAACATCATGGAGTACACTCTGTGGAACTCTCTTGGGTTTCTGTTTTGTACATATTATACCCACTACTAATAGTCTTTTATTTTAAAAAAATATATCATTTTTTTCCCTGCCCCTTAACTTTAACGATTCTCTGTCAGTTTAACTTTTGTTCAAGTTTGTTGCATGTGTATTATTGCAGAGGTCTTTGGCACAGGTGCTGGCACTCTTCCTCATGGAAGGGCTTTTTTGGGGCATTTGTGCTGAGGCCAGGCAGATCTTCTCAAGTGTCTTAAAGAAAGGAGCTGGTATGAGCTTTGTCTCAAGAGGTGTATATAGAGAGGACACGTAACATCCAACAGAGAGCTCACAAGAAGGGTTTTAGCACTACCTTCAGAAAATTTATAAGCTCCAAGCCTTGAAAAGGTCTCCAGATTTCAAATAATCTCTTTAATCTCTCTGCAAGGCATGACAATATATCTGTAATCCTCATGGGGAAATCACCGTCTGATTTCACGCTTCTCACTGAAGCACTAGAAATAAAGCCAGGAGTTAAAGCAGAGCAGGGTAGGTGGACGCTGTAATTAGTGAAAGAGTAGAATAGCATGTAGGTGTTGTCAAGAGACTTGGATTTGTGTCATTAAGTGTTTATTCACTGAAAAATTCCTAAGTTACTCCTTATATCATAATGAAGCCCAGAATTATCAAATCTATTTAGAGTACGCTTGTCTTAGACACAACACAAACATTCTTAAGTTTTACTGTAGAAGCATTTTGGTAGCCAAGCTATTGTTAAAAAATGCTTCAGTTGAAGGCAGGACTTCAACTGACATACATTATTCTAGTCCCATACTACCCAGTGAAAAAAACTACATCACCAAACCTTGTCCCTTGTATCACCGGATTACGCAAGCACAGCCAGTTTCACCAAACACTCAAGTCTGAATGCAAGAGCTCTGTCAGCAGATTTTGGAAGCATGAATCTGGCTATAGAAAGAGGCATTTCCTTTCCTCTTGTATTTTGTCCTTACACAGACCAGACAGATGGAAAGGGAGAATCAAGGGATGTTATTATCCCATTTAGCAGATAAGGCAGTGAGACAGCTAGATTAAGTACTTTGCTGTAATTTACACCGGAAGGATGTGCTTAGCCAAGAAATTATCTGCAATTGCTTGGACATCTGCCTTAACCATAAAACCACCCTTCCCTCTTTGCCTGTTCGGAAATCAGAAGTGCCTCTTCTCACTTCAGCATCTAAGCCTGAGAGGCCGACAAGAAAATTATTAAAAATCATAATTAAATGTTAAACAAGGAAGGGAAAGAAAGGGAAGAAAAATATCAGAGAAACAAAATGGGCAGAGAGAGGGAGAGATGACTGCAGGCATGCATGGGGAGAGGCTGAGAAGCAAAAGCCAGAAATAGACAAGATTTAAGTACAGATTTAGGCAAATGATCAAATGTAAGTGTTGAAATATTTAAACAAAAAATACGTGAAAGATATTAAAAAACAATTAACTTTCAGAATCAGTCTCCTAGCATTAATTTTTCACAGTGTATTTAAATAATATTTGACAGTTATTGTAATCCACAAAGCAGGAATTCTGCATCTTACCAGACTTTTTGTGTTCTTTTCTTAGTTTTGCATGAAAATATGCTTTTTGTTCTGAAATACTAATAGTGCAGATGGTTGTCATGCTGGTGAGTTCATACTAAAAATGAGCACATCAACATAAATGATGTAGATAAG